ACCCCTCTCCTGTTTGGGAAGAAGAGGCAGTCTCAGAGAGGTTAATTAACCTGCCCACTGCTTCACAGGAAGAAGGTAGAAATCTGAGACTCAGATCAGGTTTGGTTTATTCTCAGGTGTTCTTTCTTCTACTTGGTTTTCAGCTAAAAGTGAAGGTGTGTAATTTTTGACAGGTGCTATAGTCTCGCAGAGTTCTAAAGTAATTTTTTAAAAGCTATGAGTTTCATTTATAAATATGGTTTAGTAAATCATTAAGTCCAAACCAACCAACCAGGGAAACAAAAAAAATAAAAAACTTTGGCATTATTTTCCATTAGATATATAACACCTGTGCATTTAATTTCCTTCTGTCATCCTAATAAGAGATTGGGTTAATGCATGATGAATCCATATGATTTGGACATGTTTTCAAAAAATTTTCCTCTAGTAATATGTAACACAAAGTATATAGTCTATAGTGGATTTTTTTTTGCTGACTCCTGATACATGGCATGTGAATTAAGCCATACTAAGTTTTTAGCTGGCTATTCAGTATCACATCTTTTAACACAAGCTGTATGTCAAGATGCTTTTTCAACCCAATATATTATTAATCCTTACTGTAGTTTTGAGGTTATGGGGAGAAAACAAGAAAAAAGTGTAACATAAAAATATTCAATAAGGGGCACCTGGGTGGTTCCTTTGGTTAAGTGGCTGCTTTCGGTTCATGTCATGATCCCAGCATCCTGGGATCAAGTCCCACATCAGGCTCCCTGCTCAGCCGAGTGTCTGCTTCTCCCTGTGCCTGCCACTTCCCCTGCTCGTGCGCTCGTTCTCTCTCTCTTTTTCTGACAAATAAATAAATAAAATCTTTTGAAAAGAAAAGTATTCAGTAAATGATTCCACTGCTAGTGATTGAAAAAAAATTAATGTGTCAATGTGACTGGAATTTAAATTGTTAGAAAATATAAAAATTATGGTGTTTTGGCAAAAACTACACATCAACTAATAGAATTTACTTTCAAATAAGGACCATGTGTGTTTGAAATAGAGCTACTGGCTTCCCCAAAACTGGCGTTTCATATACTTTTGGCTCTTGCCTATTGTTGTTGAGGAAGCAGAATTTAAGGACTGAAGTCTTTAAAGAAGTGGTACAAAGACGATAAATGGTGTATGGATTTGGCATTCTTTGCCTGGTCATATAGATTTATAAAGGAGACTTAACAAAGGATCCACGGAGGTAGAGAGGATTAAAGATGTTCTAACCGCATTGGATGTAACTTTGCTAATCTGTTCTCTTAGTTTCAGTGATATTATTGTGAATGGGTTCTGTTCCACAAGGGAGTGATACTAATCATCTTCATGTATTCTGAAGAACTTTGGTTAACTTCCTGCCTTTCTACACTCTGCGGGTGGAGTTTCAGTGTGGGGCAATTACTTTCCTTGCTCCTGACTGATGCCTATGGCCGGGACCTGAGCAAGAAGAAACCCGGGGCCGGGGTGACTGAGGTCTGAAACCAAAAAAGAGCAAGGGTTGATGCATCCAGTACACGGACATTTGATCTTAAGAATTTATGTAACATTAAAAACACTTTAATCCAAAGTATCAGTTTTCCTACTTCTAGAAGTGGCCAAAACCCTTCAGTGAAAGAATGTTCCCAGAGAAGGGCCAGATCTTCCATCCCTTTCCAGTTCATTCCTCATGCTCTGTTGACACCGTGAGCACCAGCAGTGCAGACACGTGTGTGGAGAGAGTCCTGTCTATGCAGGCTTCACTTCCCATAGACTTTATGCAGTAGGGATTTAGTTTGAGCTTAATACAAATTGAGAATAGAATTACTTTAATCAACACTTGTGATTATTTTCAGGTCTTAGTAATATCTGAAATAATCTTTCTCTCTGACTAGGCAGAGGACTTCAGGTTTTACAGGTGTGAGATATAAAGCAGTATACACTAAATTCTGTGTGGGGTGCCTGGTGGTTCAGCCACTTGAGCATCTGTCTTGGGCTCAGGTCCTGATCCCGGTGGTGGGAACAGTCTCCCTGCACAGCCGGGAGTCTGCTTCTCCCTCTCCTCCCCACCTGTGCTCTCTCTTACTGTCTCTGTCATTATCTCTCTCTCTCTCTCTCAAATAAATAAATATAATCTTTTTTTTAAAAAAAAAAAAAAACACCCTAAATTCTGTACATTTAACTTGTCCAAAGGAGTAAAATAAGGATATGCAAGGAAAATTAATTTGTGTAGACCTCACCTAACTTTGTTCCAGGTGATGTTTAATAATGTAAGGAGAGGATCATACTGTTAACCCTGAGTACTCATCCTGCTTTTGGTAGAATTTGATCCAAGCCATGTAAACAAAATTGGCTTTTCTAAATTGTTTTCACTAGGTGATTTGTGCTTATCTGCCAGGAGTTACAAAAAAGAGTGATAAAAATGGTTTCTCTGCTAGTCCGTCGGTACTCAGTTATAGATCCCAGTGCTTCACACATTTCTGTTGTCCAGCAGGACTGCCCCTGCAGCTTTTTAATAAAACTATGTGGGGGGGGGGGCGCACCTAGGTGGCTCAGTGGGTTAAGCCTCTACCTTCGGCTCAGGTCATGATCTCGGGGTCCTGGGATCGAGGCCTGCGTTGGGCTCTCTGCTCAAGGGGTAGCCTATTTTCCCCACTCTCTCTGCCTGCCTTTCTGCCTACTTGTGATCTCTCTCTCAAATGAATAAATAAAATCTAAAAAAAAAAAAAAAAAAAAAACTATGGCAGGGGATTGTTGGTCTCAGAGATGGACCAACACACAGGTATACCGATGCCTTTTTCTCAGAACTTAGTGGTGAATAAGCACCTGCTTTACACAAAGTGGCTTCTGTATAGAAAAGTCAGAGCTACTCAGGGGACCTGAAGACATTTCTCCAATGGCCTGCAACAGGACCAGCTTTTCTCCCCCCATTAGAAAAACTGTTGATGAAATCAATCCAGTAATAAGAAGGAAGGAGCTAGGGGCGCCTAGCTGACTCAGTCCATTAAGGATCCACCTTTGGCTCAGGTCATGATCTCAGGGTCCTGGAACCGAGCGCCACGTGGGGCTCCCTATTTAGTGGGTAGTCTGCTTTTCCCTCTCCCTTTGCCCAATCTTCCCCCTCTCTCCTACCCTACTCCCCCCCACACTCAGCTCGTGCTCTTTCTTGAGCACAAGCACTCTCTCTTAAATAAATAAAATGTTAAAAAAAAAAACTATCGATATGTGAATCATGGGTGAATCTTAAAATCATTCTGCTGAGTGAAGGAAGCTATACCCCCCCCACAAAAATACATGCTGCATGCTGTATGATTGCATTGTTATAAAATTCTAGGAAATGCAAACTCCTTTTGTAGGGACAGAAATGAAGTCTGCAGTTGCCTAGGGATGGTGGGGGTGAGGAGAAGAGGTAGGGGCAACAGGCAGGTTGGTATGGTTACAAAAGGGCAGTAGGAAACTTTTGGGGTTGATGCGTGTGTTCATTATATTGATCATAGTGTCAGTTTCATGGATGTATACATGTCAGTGTTTGTCAAATTTTGCACCGTTTTATGTCCAGTGTAATGTTTGTTTCAGCATATGTGTGACAAGAGGGGGAGGTATGGTATTACTCACTTGTTATGGACAGCAGGTAAGTAAGAAAATAAAGGCAACTCAAGTGTTCTTAGAACATGTGAAACAAAATGAAACAAAAATCTTAGAATAATGAAACAAAAATCTACCTTGTCCTTTGTGATCTGGGGCATAGGGAAGGCCCCCATGTTTCATAATTCTGTTCCCATGTGCTCTTTGATTCTTGAAATATCTCCTTTTGATGGGCAGGGAATTATATTTTAGTGGCCAAGAGCGCGAGTTTTGGAGTCCAGCAAACCTGAGTTTGGCCTAGTCACCTGCTAGCTGTGTACCTTTGGGTAGGACACTTGACCTATCTAATTGTCTTTTTTCTTACCTATGAAGTGGGCTGACAGAGGCATAGTAAGTCCTCAATAAAAGGAAGCAATTCTTATTATTTTTTTCATTTCACATTCTGATTCCCACAAGGTTTAAAATACAGATAGTCTTGGGTGAGAAAAGACAGTATTTTCAGTTCATAGGAGGTCATGTTACCATGGAGAAGTGGAATCAGGAGCGTTGCTTAAAGAAGAGGAAAAAGATCATTACACGAAGTGAAGGGAGGGTGGGCAGGAGACCGTAGATGATTTGTCAGCTGCCTACTTTTCTGTGTTCCTCACGGTGGGCATCTCGCTACCACGTGACCTTCTCATCTGCTTTTCCTGCTGTTAGTGACTTCTGCTCTTTGCAGGCTTTAACTGTTTTTAATTCACTAGTCTTTCCCTTTGTCAATTAATAATATCATTGTTTATGAGCGCCATGTTCAAGACTGCTTATTGAGAAACTCATTCTAGCATTTACTTGTTCACTTGTTTAGATGTGTGAATATTTGTCATTCCTCCGTAGAAAAAAATTTTGACTTTCTAGATGTATTGCTTACACTTAGCTGATCTCATTTAATTTTGTATTAGTTCTTTAAACTTTATTAAAAAGAAATATATATATATATATACTTATGGAAGTGAAAGTTGATTAGTGTATCCTAAATTGGTCATGTTGTTGATAAGTAAGTTTGCAGCATACATAGTAAAACTCCTTTTTCTTTAACTCTGAAAAGGTATCATTATCACTTATAGAACTAGCAGAATCACCTGCTTTCCCATGATCCTGACCTAATTTTTTCCCTCTGCCAGGTGTTTGCAGGGATTTAACGAGTGATCGATTTGGTTTTAGAGGGTCCCGGAGCTGCACAAAGTGTTTTTCATATTGAAAAAGACATGGCCAGTTTTTCACAAGTTGTAAGATTTATTGCCTCCCCCTAACGTGCTTCAAATGAGTTTGTTTGCTATTTATTTTACTCAGAGTGTCGTAATTGTTGTCGTTAGCCGAAGGGCAAGCTTGATCCTAAGGAAGGATACACTGCCTTTTAACACTGTTTCTATTTGGCACCTTTGCAGGACTGGACATTAGATGGGTAGACTGCTACTTCCCTTTTACTCATCCTTCCTTTGAGATGGAGATCAACTTCCATGGAGAATGGCTAGAAGTCCTTGGCTGTGGGGTGATGGAACAGCAACTGGTAAATTCAGGTAGAAAAGAATCCAACGTTTTATTTATAGGCTCTCTTAAAAAAGACTTTCTTCTCCTTTAACTTAACTTTGCATACTCATTTCCATATGCATTTCCATACCCCTGTGGGGATTGCCTCACCATCTTTCTCTCCTCCTGTTGCCCTCCAGACTTATCCCTGACACTTAACTCTGGAAGAACTTAGTTTCTCACATCTAATTTCACGAAGATTTCTTGTTTTTGCAGATCTTCCTCGTTACCATTAAAGTGTTGGGCTTGTACTTCCTAATTTCAAATTTGTTGATATGTTGCTTTGCAATTACCTGTAGACATTCAATGCACATCAGAGGAGTGCAGTTTGTCAACTATTTAAGAACAAGGCCAATGTGTAATCCTTTTTTGTTCCTATTTCATTGATAATAGTGCCCCAAATTCAAGATATTTCCGAAACTACGACAGACTACAATATCAAAATACTCAGATCTGTAAAGTTGTGTTGTTTGCTGCCCTAGTGTTGGCAGTGCTACCTGTTGGAGGTTAAGTGGGGAAATGAGGCTCTCATTAAATCCTACCTATATCTGCAGGCACTTGAGAAAGATCTTTACAGCTCTTCTCTGCAGGACCTTGCTTAATAAAAATGAGTATTTCTCAACTTAATTTCAGGCTATCTTTTTTTTTTTTAAAATCACTATCTGAATGTGATTAAAGATTATTTTTTCAGAGTATCAGTCCTCCATGGGAAGGCAGTTGGGATTGGGCATTTGAGCAGGAGCTCACTGCATAAGCAGTAGGGGGAGGGGAGGTTGTGTGGACTGCACTGTGTCCCTCCTCACTTCCCACAGTAGGACATTTGCTCTCTGGCCTGGGAGGGCGGTGGCTCTGATCACAGGGCCTTGTGCAGCCGAATGCAGAAGAACAGCCCTCTGGGTGACTAAGAAATGTGAAGAGACCACGGGTAAGGTCATGGGGTTGGAGATTAAGGATGGACTGAGGCAGAAGAGATGATGTGGCCGGGAAGTGCAAGATTTGTGAGACCGGAGGCCTGGCTTTCCTTCTGGCTTATAGGTAACCTCTGTCTGCAGGGGCCTGGACTCAGCTCACAGAGGCCTCTCCATTCCGCCAAGGAAGCCTGGCGGAAAGCGTAGCACAGTGCCAGATGCTTCTTGGATGGTTTTCACATATTTGAAGATCTGACCTAGACAAGAGGGACAGAGAGGCTGCATTATCAAGGGGCTGTGAATAGAAGTTGTGAGGCTTGGACCTGGGTGTCTGTCATAGGTTTTCTGTCATTTGACCGCTATGTGTCTTTGGGCGAGTGGCTTAGCCCCTGTGAGTCTTAGTTTTCTCATAGTTAAATGGGCACAATGATACCTTCCTCAGAGTTTCATTATGAGGATTAATTGAGGCGATACGTGTAACATGCCTATTACCACAGGGTCTGGCACATAGTAAATCTTGACTAAAATTAATTGCTGATGTTGTTTTTAATTTTTTCCCCCAATGGTTAGAGCCATTTATCAACAGAGAATCCCCTTAAAAAAGGAAGTATTTAACCAGAGACTGTTCTGCCTATCACAGAACTGATTTCTTAACTAACTGGGACTTGATTACCTCTTTGATCTTAGTCATCTTAGTATCCATGATTCTAGTTTGAGAGATTTTAGAAGGAAAAAGAAAATTAAGAATAGTAAAAGACAACAGGACAATCAGACAGTAGGTGTGTAATACACATCTTAGTAGGAAACAAAATATTGGAAGCAAACATGTAAGGTTTAATCTCTTCCTGAGTAGGACCTAGTTCCGAATACTGCTGTGGTGTTTTTGTTTGTTTTGTTTCTTAGAAGATTTCGAGGAACCCAGGCTTCCTCCCAGAGGTGTGTGTTGTCAGGGGTCAGAACTGAGCAGGCTGGTCAGGGGACGATGATCTTACATGTCAGTCGTCACTGGGAATCGTGCTTCCTTCTGTCTTTTCCAGTATCCTTGATGGGTTTTTATGAGGTTTATTCATTCAGTAATTGGCCGAATACAGTTATCTGAAACAGGTTTCCAAGTCATTACTGCACATTAATGAGACTGCTGTTCTACAAATAGATCAGCCATGTCAAGTACACTTGAAGGAAATGACAAAGTGAAAGAAAAAAAAATAAACAAAACCAAACCAGGACATCTGAGATGCAAATATTTTTGAGAGGTTCACACTCCTGGTAGAATGTGCTTTAAGTTGGTAGGAAATTGTACAGATAAAATTGAATTTAAGTATCTTGTGAGAGAGAGACAAGAAAAGGAAGAAGAGATGATTTTGTAAAAGAAATTCTGTGTGGGCTTTGCTATTTGAACTTGAAGTTATTGTGACAGAGTTCTGCTCTGTGTTCTCAGACTCGGATGTGTTTTGACATCTGGAGTTAAAATATTTTAAACTCTGTGCCTGGCAGTCACTAAACCACAGGCATTATTTGTAAGAACAGCTAATTTTCTGTTTTCTGAGTTCCTGTGGTTTTGAGAAAGGCAGACTATGCACACCTCATCCCTCTAATTCCATTTTGCTATTCCTCCCATCTCTGCTCTGACATTTCGTTCCTTCCCAATGCCCCCCCCCCCCCCCCCCCGCCCCCGTCTGGTCAAATAGAACTTCCATGGGCGCCTGGTGGCTCAGTGAGTTATGCTCTCAGGATCTTGAGTTCAAGCCCTGTGCTGGGCATGGAGCCTACTTAAAAAAAAAAAAAAAAAAAGAAATGATCTTCCAAGAAACACCAAAATGGATGTTTTTTGATCTCCTTCTTTAGAGGTCTCATAGAGGTTCAGGTAAGTGTGGAAGGAACTGGAAACCAGAGACGTCCCGATGGGACGGTGATCTAGCTGCCACACCTGAGCCCATCCTGTGGGCCAGCGCCTCACTGAAGGCTTCACAGGCTTTCTTCTGTTTAGCCTTGAGAACAAGGCTCTGACGTAGATGCTGGCATTATTTATCCCCCTTTACAGAGCCTGAGAAATGTGCCATGCTGTGCTACCCAGATGGTAAACTGTGGGATTTTGAAGTGGCTAGAAATCTATTCCAAACAAACGATTGTGTCCAACATAGAATGAAGAAATGAAACCAAATGAAACAAATGACAGCAAACAGAGCTCTCCTTGTTCTGTTTTATTCGCGACACCTATAGAAGGGCCCGGCCATCATGTATGTTATCTCCTGTGATAGAAGGCATTTAATTAAAAGAGTGAAATTAGATCGCTAATATGAACAGTCGGCCAAAACACTTTCTTACACATCTAAGTTGACGACGGCATTGATGAAGTTTTTTGTATTTTGTTTTTCCTGGAATAAGATAAAGCTCTTCCACACGGCTTATAGAATTGTACTTTATTTCTTCTTCTTTAATTTATGGTGTCTTCACCCTTACCTTCAGACTTCTTAGATTTAGTAATTGTGATGTGGGTGGTGACTGTTGTCATGATGATTTGATTCGTTTTTCCTTGAGGAGATGTTTTGAGGGCAGCACTGAGTCACGTGCCGAACACTACACCCTTATTTTCCGTTGGGCTGACTCAGGCTGCTAATGTCTTTTCAGGTAATATATGGAGCACAGACATCTAAAAACATCACCAGGGGTGACCGTAGGCTGTGATCGTGCCAGAAAGGAATTTACCATTTATTGGGCCCCTGTGAAACGTAGAAGATTGTGCATAGGCCAGGGGATAGAAAAAGCCCTGTGGTGGGAAATAACTTTTAAAAACCGGAATCTCTTTCCTTACCCTTTGTTCAAATTTAAAAGCGAGCTCTTTGGGGGAAAACTTTGTAAATATGTACATGAACAGTTTCCAGTTTTAACAGTCGTCCTTTGTTGCTGTTGTTCATTTGCCTGTCACATTTTTCTTGAACTCCTTCTAAGGCTGTAGAAAAGCAAAATAAGCGTTGTCTCTCCTTTGGGAATAGCACAGCATGCAAAGACATACAGATAAGTGATTACAATACCGTGTGGTAAGTATTTGTATCAGAAGTACAGTGGGCAGCATGGCAAGAATGGAGAGGTTGGAGAAGATTTTGCCAAGGCCTTGTTCTGGTTACTACATTCAGGATGGAATGCTGGAAATACGGGTATTTGAATTTTTTAAATTTTTTTTTTAAAAATATTTTATTTATTTATTTGACAGACAGAGATCCAAGCAGCCAGAGAGGCAGGCAGACAGAGAGAGAGAGAGGGGAAGCAGGCTCCCCACCGAGCAGAGAGCCCGACGCGGGGCTCGATCCCAGGACCCCGGGATCACGACCCGAGCCGAAGGCAGAGGCTTTACCCCACTGAGCCACCCAGGCGCCCCAAATACGGGTATTTGAAATGCATGTCCCGAATAAGTTAGGCACCTGTATGCAAGGAGTTGTGTACTTGACGTACTTTGCTTGGATGTCCGGGTGGCATATCTAATGCTTCTTTTCCTACGAGAGTGAAAATCTACTTCTGGTCTCTTACTCTCATGGGTAGCCAATCTCTGCAGCCTCTACACACACCTGTGACATTCAGTGTAGTAGTCTAAGCTGGTGAGCTTTTATTTTTTATTTATTGTATTTATTTAAGCTGGTGAGCTTTTAGATAGCATCAGCCAAGATGTCTGTCTATACCAGGCATATTATTATATACAAGCAGACTTGCCATTCATCTGCTCAGCATCTTTTGTGTGTAAGACACTGTGCTAGCCAAAGAGGAAGGCATGAAAACCGTAAGATGTGACATCTACATGTAAAATGTTGAGTGTAGTAGGGAAGATGAGACTATATAATTAGAGCATGGTAACGTAAGTGCCATTCATGAGATGGAGCTCTGGTTGTAAAGCGGGAATTCTGTCCATCAGTTACATCAGTGGAGGTATCAGAGAGGAGGTGGTATTTGAACTGGGCCTTAAGCAGTGGTTCTCACTATGTGCCTGGTAATGACCTGGACAGTCTACTTAAAATGTCTGTTTGCATCAGGTTCTGTAGGTCTGGAATGAGGACTGAGATGTGCATTTCAAACAAATACCCTAGCTAATT